ATATATATATATATATATATATATATATATATATATATTTGGTACCACAGATTGAACCCAGGGGCACTTAACCACTGAACCACATCCCCAGCCCTTTTATGTTTTATTCTGAGACAGGGACTCGCTAAATTGCTTAGGGTCTTACTAAGTTGCTGAGGCTGGCTTTGAACTCAAAATCCTCCTGCCTTAGCCTCCAGAATAGCTGGGATTACAGGTATGTGCCACAGCCTGGCTACCATCTCTTTTCTAGGGACTTTTCCAACCAAAAGAATTCAGGATCTGTTAGGTAATTTCTTGCCAGGGATAGAAAAACTCAAAAATAACTGGGCAAATACAGGCCTGCCAAGTGCCTGCCTTGTTTTCTCTCTCAGATCCTATGATCAAAGTAGCTAGTAGGTAGATGGATACAAAGAAAGGAAATCAAAAGTCACACATAGAGTATACCAGCTAAGAGCACAAGATTTCAAAGGGCCATTTTTTGTTTGTTTTTGGCATTTTGTTTTGTGTTTGTGGTGCTGGGAATGGAATGCAGGGTCTTGTGCAAGTGTGGCAAGTATCCCAACACTGAGCTACATCCCCAGTCCTCAAAATGCTAGTTTTAATCCTGACTCGGTTACTTACTAGCAGTATGCTAAAGGAAATCATCTCTCATCTAAGGTTCCCATCTATAAAAATGATAAAATATCTGCCTCATAGGGTTGTCAAGGATTAAACAAGATGATATGTGCAGAGTTACTAAATTTAGGACTCAAACTTAGTTTTAAAAAGTAACTTTTTTTTTTCCAATAGGGATTAAATTCAGGGGCACTTTACCACCTTATTTTAAATTTTGAGACCCAGTCTCTTGCAAAGTTGCTGAAGCTGGCCTTGAACTTTTATTTTTATTTATTTATTTTGGCCTTGAACTTTTGATCTTCTGTCTCAGCCTCTGAAGTTGCTAGGATCATAGGCATGCACCACTGCACCCAGAGAAATAATATTTTTAAAAATTTATATCTGAGGGGCTGGGATTGTGGCTCAGCAGTAGAGCACTCGCCTAGCACGGGCAGGACCCGGATTTGATCCTCAGCACCACATAAAAATAAAGGTATTKTGCTGTGTCCATCTACACCTAAAAAATAAATATTTAAAAAAAATTATATCTGAGCCAGGACTGGGGGTGAATGCCTGTAATCCCAGCAGCTCGGGAAGCYGAGGCAGAAATATTTCAAGTTCAAAGCCAGCCTCAGCAACTTAGTAAGGCCCTAAGCAGCTCAGCGAGACCCTGATTCTAAATAAACACACATACACACACACACATACAAAAAAAAAAAAAAAAGCCAAAAAAGAAAAAGAAAAACAAAACCAACAAAAGTCAAGGATGTGGCTCGGTGGCTAAGTGCCCCTGGGTTTAATCCCTGGTACCAAAAAAAAAAAAAAAAAAAATCTGAATTTAATATCTGATTCTGGTCATTCTGGAGCTTTCCCCTGCCCTTCTGTGGGGATGTATTGAGGATTTTATAAAGGGATGAAGCCCCAGTGTTTGGTGTGTGTATATGGGTATGAGTTTCCTTCTGATCAATAACCATTGGTCCCACAGATGTTGAGAAGTCTGCTGCCCTTATCCCTTATCACTTTATAGCTCCTACACCATTCTCAAAGCAAAGGAATCTTTTGCCAAGGTTTCCTGCAGTCTTCCCAGTTACACTGTACAGGTATTCACTTCTGGGATCTTCTGCCTCCCCTATGCTGGTACCAAAAATTAAGGTCTTTTCTTCCACTTCTCAGGGATTTAAAGACATCCCTCTTCCTTCCTCCTATGCACTAATTGGGRAAAACATCTATTTTAGGGTCTGAGGTTAATAGCAGCCCTTGCCTCTGTTTATCCAAGAAGCTSTAGTTCAGTGGTTCTCCAAGTGTGGTTCACAGACCCCAAGAGCTTTTAAGGGGTTTGGAAAAATCAGAACTATTTTCATAATTATAATAAAATGTTTGTATTTTTTACCATGCTGACATTTCCATTGATGATACAAAAATAATGGTGGGTGAAAGTGCTTTGACACTAATCAAGACAATGGCACCAAACTGTATCTGTGGTCATTGTATACTGCCCCATACCTGCAGGAAAACAAAAATAACAAGGTCAGTTTCCTTTTAAAATACTCTTGATGAAGCAATAAAAACTATTAGTTTTATTAAATCTTGATCTTTTTAATACTGTGATAAAATTAAAAACATACATAATGTGCCTTTCTGGTGGTGACAACCTTCCCAAGAAAACATGCCTCTTGCAAAAGATCTTCTTCATCCTTCTCCAAAAGAAATCACCTGGCGCAAAGCCCAATTCCTATTTCATGGATGTGAAATGCCCAAGATGCTATAAAATCAACAGTTTTTAGCCATGCACAAATAGTAGTTTTGCGTGTTGGCTGCTCCACTGTCCTCTGCCACCCTAAGGGAAGAAAAGCAAGACTTACAGAAGGATGTTCCTTCAGGAGGAAGCAGCAATAAAAGCAACCTGAATCAAGATGAGTGGGAAAACATCCTAATAAACACATTTTGGATATAAAATACACACACACACACACACACACACAATGTGCTTCTGTTGCTTATAGTAGTATAAATCACTTGAGCAGCTGAGTTATGAACTGATTTTTTTTTTCATGGAATACCATTTTAATTTGAAAGAATTACTGATGGACAAATATCTTAATCAGACTTAGGAAGACATTCTCTCAAAATCAACAAAGTGAGCCTGCCACTTCAAAAAAATAAATAAATAAATACATCAGGTGTGGGCCACAGCTTGGGAGGCTGAGACATGAGGATTGTGAGTTCAAAGCCAGCCTCAGCAATGGTGAGGCACTAAGCAACTCAGTGAGACCCTGTCTCTAAATAAAATATAAAATAGGGGATGCAGCTCAGTGGTTGAGAACCCCTGGGTTCAATCCGAAGTACCAAAAGTAAATAAATAAACAAACAAACAAATAAATAAATAAAATCTACCCCAACCCTCATATCCCTGTGAATATTGAAGAATAACTGTACAAAAGTTAAAATTTTAGAAAATCTGTATTCACTGTGGTTTTGCCACCTCTCCTCCCCAGCTCCCCAGTACTAGAGATTGAACTCAGTAGGGCTAAACTACTGAACTATAACCCAAGCCATTTTTGGTTTTGGTACCATGGATTGAATCCAGGGGTGTTTAACCATTAAGCCACATCCCCAGAACCCCCCTTTTAAAATATTTTTTAGTGGTCTATGAACCTTTATTTTATTTATTTATATGTGGTGCTGAGAATCAAACCCAGTGCCTCACATATGCTAGGCAGGTGCTCTACCACTGAGCCACCACTCCAGCACCCCCAGCCCTTTTTATCTTTTTCTTTTTTAATTTTGAGACTGGGTCCCACTAAATTGTCCAGGCTGTCTCCAAGCAGCTGGGATTATAGGCATGTGCTATTATGCTGGCCTGCATTTATTTTCTTCAGTTTTACAGTTTCTTGCAACATGACTTTTGATGAGATTAATAAGTATCATAACAAATGCTATCTCTTGTGATTATAGAGTAAAATCTGGTAACAACTGAAAGGTCTGCATGATTCAATGAGCCCATGGGCAGTACATGATGTAACAAATCCTGCAGACATAAAAGAACCATTCAAAGTGTAACWTAGACCAATGGATTCTACTAAAATGGTATATAAAAAAGTTTATTTATCTGGTCTCAGATTCCATATTGCAATTAAATTATAAGGTAATTATCACTCATTATGTTTTAGTGTAATACCTAAAAAGAATATCACATGTTATCAGAAGAGTCTATTAAAATACTACTTCCTTATCTAATTGAATATCTGTGTAAGGATGGATTTTCTTCATGTACTTCAACAACATATCACAACAGATTGAATAAGGAGATGAAAATCCAGCTGTTTCTGATTAATGAAATTTGTAGTTGSTGTCATGGCTAAGGAGGGTGGGCAGGAGGATTGCAAGTTCAAAGCCAGCCTCAACAAATTAGCCAGGCCCTAACCAACTTAGGGAGACCCTGTCTCAAAATAAAAAGGGCTAGGGACATGGCTCAGTGGCTAAGCACCCTGGGTTCAATCCCTGGTACCAAACAAAAAAAAAAAAAAAGAAAAAAGAAAAGAAAAGAAAGAAAGAAAAAAAATTGCCGCTATTTTCCCTAATGTGTTTTTGTTTTGGAAAATTAATTTCTCTTAAGATATGCTAATTATTTTATTATTTTATATTCTGGTAAATATTGACAGATATAATTCACATAAACAAAAGCTATTTGGAGTTCTCAATAATATTTAGGAGTGTAAAGAGGCCCTGAGACCAAAATCTCAGAGGACTGCTGCTCTAGCTCTCTATGTTCATAAATTCTCCAAGTTCCCCTGAGACTTAAGGTGTGCAAAAGCCTGAGAACTCATAGGCCAGTTTTATTATCTGCCCAGATCCTTCCCTCTTCTGAAATAAAGAACTAGAGACCTCTTTGGAATAGGAAAAGAAAGAAAAAAAAGAGAGAGAGAGGAAAAAAGTTAGTATCTCAAAATACAATCCAGCAGACATGTAAAAGCACTTGGCATAGTACTCACTCCTAGTTGCATGTAATGGCTGGTATCGTCTTCTTCATCTTCGTCATTATTATTTCATCTTGTCCATGTTTTTTCCATGGGATTTATATGCCAATTATTCTTAAGGCAATGTATCCTACAGTCTTTAAATATGATTTGGGGGCTGGGAGTGTAGCTCAGTGGTAGAGTGCTTAGGCTTTGAGGTGGTTGTTTCTCTGWACGTTTTTCAAATCAGGAGATATTCTTAAGAGAGAATAAGTAAAAAGGCTGAACTAGAATCATAAATTAAACCCAGAAAAGAATGAAGGGGTCCAGAATGCCACTCCAAAAATATGCCACTTTTGCATACAGATTATTTTGAGTTGAAGGCAACCAAGATTCAATAGATGCAGAGAAAAGCTTCCTCAGAGCTTCTCTTATCTGACTACAAAGCAGCAACTTCTGGGAAATGAGGCTACCTTCAGTCCTCTCTCTGGGGAAATTTCATGATCCTGAAGGAGAGAGAAAGGCCACTTATATAGACAAACATGATCACAAACTTTCATATTTCTTATTTGTTCTTCTAAGAACCCATTTGACTTTCCTAAAGAAATTTATTTTTCTTCCTATAGGATTCTTTTCTCCCCAGTACATTTCCCCTACTAACTTAGGTGGGTAAGCCCAAATTCTAAACACCCTTGGAGTTACTGGTCACTCAGCACTCCCATGTGTATGCATGTGAATAAACTCATCTCTTTCTTAGAAATCTGTCTGTCAGCTTAATTCACAGTCCCCAGAAACAGAACCTAAAAAGAATAGTTTTTCCTCACCTACAATAGCAAGACAAGGAAAGAGCTTAATACATAACCTTCCAGGTTTCCTGCCATCCCTGAAACTGGAGGATTATCAGGTTGAAAGTTCATAACTTTTATTTATTTACTTTTTTATGTGGTGGTGAGGATTGAACCCAGTGCCTCATGCATGCTAGGCAAGCTCTGCTTTACCTCTGAGCTACAACCCCAGCCCTGAAAGTTCATAACTAAGAAACAACTATAAAGAATATGAAGCTGGGGCTGGGAATGTGGCTCAAGCGGTAGCACGCTCGCCTGGCATGTGTGTGGCCAGGGTTCGATCCTCAGCGCCACATACAAACAAAGATGTTGTGTCCGCCGAAAACTAAAAAATAAATTAAAAAAAAAAAAATAGAATATGAAGCTGGGTTCAGTGATGCATGACTGTAATCCCAGCAACTCTGAAGGCTGAGGCAGGAGGATAGTAAATTCAAAGCCAGCCTCAGCAATTTAGCACAGCCCTAAGCAACTTAGCAAGACATTGTCTCAAAATTTTAAAAGGGGGCTGGGGTTGTTCCTCAAGAGTTAAGCACCCTGGGTTCAATACCATGGTACCAAAAGAAAAAAAAAAAGTAAAGAAATTTCCAAAAGCCATTTTTTTTAATGCCAATTGTGACAATATCAGAAATAGGTAATTTAATTAGTAGAAACTAATAAAATGAAAAGATGAAAAAAAAATAAGTTTTGATGGGGTCAAAGTGTTCAGACATTTTTTTATTTCAGATTTCCAAAGACAAGTTGGAGGTGGTCTGGAACAACCAGGTTGCCAATTTTATATTTTGACAAGTAACTTTTTTTTTTTTTAGAGATGGACACAATATCTCTACTTCTTAATTAATTTATTTTTTAAAGAGAGAGAGAGAATTATTTTTTTAATATTTATTTTTTAGTTTTTGGTGGACACAACATCTTTATTTTATTTTTATGTGGTGCTGAGGATTGAATCCAGTGCCTCATGTGTGTGAGGAAAGCACTCTACTGCTGAGCTATAACCCCAGCCCCTGACAAATAATTTTTTAAAAAACATAGCATTTGGGACTGGGATTGTGGCTCAGCAGTAGAAAGCTTGCCTAGCACAGAGGGGCCCGAGATTCGATCCCAGCACCACATAAAATAAATGAATGGAATAAAGGCATTGTGTCCAACTACAACTAAAAAAATAAATATTAAAAAAATACCATTTCTAGGGGCTGGGGATGTGGCTCAAGCAGTAGCGCGCTTGCCTGGTATGCGTGCGGGCCGGGTTCGATCCTCAGCACCACATACAAACAAAGATGTTGTGTCCGCCGATAACTAAAAAATAAATATTAAAAATTCTTTCTCTCTCTCTCCTCTCTCACTCTCTCTTTTTAAAAAAAAATAACATTTCTAGGGGCTGGGGATATAGCTCAATTGGTACAGTGCTTGCCTCACATGCATAAGGCCCTGGGTTCAATCCCTAGCACTACAAACAAACAAAAAAACAACCAAAAATTCCCATACCATTTTAAAAAAATATTTGTTTGTTTGTTTTAGGTGGACACAGTATCTTTATTTTATTTTTATTTTATGTGGTGCTGAGGATCGAACCCAGTGCCTCATGCATGCTAGGCGAGCACTCTACCACTGAGCCCCAGCCCCAGCCCCCTCATACCATTTTTTATTACCATTAATTCATAAAACAAAGGATATGGTAACACTAAAAAAAGTGTTTCAGATGCAATCTCAAAAGAGATTTTCTCCAAAAATGACAGTTGTGATCTTACTCATTGTTTTCACTAGAGACTAGAAAAACTTAGTTATGGATTGGCAACTATGTATTCTATAAATATACACTATAATTAAATTTAACATAATTTTTATGGTGTTAGAGATTTAACCCCAGTGGTGCTCTACCACCATACTACACCCCCCAAATCTTTTTATTTTTTATTTTGAGACAGGGTCTCACTAAGTTGCCCAGGCTGGCCTGGAACTTGCAATCCTCCTGCCTCAGCCTCTTGAGTTACTGGGTTTATCTACATTTGTCACCATGCCCTGTACAACTTGACATATTTAATTAAAGTGAAAATTAAGACAACAACCATCCTCCTATATCTCCACTATTTTTTTTATTACTAAGACAAAATTTTAACAAATTTAGTTAAATGATCAAATTGGCTTTTATTTCCAACAGGTGAATCTGTTAGTACCTTACCTAAAAACAGAGGACTGCTGTACTGGGCATGGAGGAACAGTTGGTTGTGATAAAGTAGCTTGAGCAGGAACAGGAAGAGCATAATACAAAAATCCAGAATGGTTAACATCAGGTTACTTACTTCAGGTTACTTTCCTTGGAAGGATTGAGGCRGAGGGGACTGCCTATCATGGCAGCTAAAACTGGCCTATTTGGGGATTTAGCTACTTGATTTCTTGGAAAGTTAGATAAGTAGCTTAGTTTCAGTTTGATGATATGGAATTTTAGCATGAGTGACTCCATTTTGGTTTGGGCTGTTGGGGTCTAGTACAAGGGCTCAGTCAATCAATGGCCTCCTATAAATTTTCATTTAAAAGTCCAATGCATCTTGGTTAAATCTTTGAAAACAATTCCCCACGTTCATCTTCAATGAATAGGAAAATCTCCTTTGCCCAAAGCATTCCATGAAAATTAAAATGTAAGAAGCATTCTAGCTTCAGAATTAGAATTAGAGTTAGGGAAATCCTTATGGAAGTTTAGGGCTTTTGTTTCCCATGTCTTCTTCTGTGGTTCTAATGCTATCTGAAGTTTGCTATTGTTTTTTAGAAGGGTCAAACCTAAGGAGAGAGACAGAGATAGAGTGTAWATGTGTGTGTTGGAGGGTCTGGCATGTAACAAAGTTTCTATCAAGTGAAAGCATGCACTGCATTACCTCCAGCTTCCACTCTTCAGAAACCCTTAATCTACTACAACAGCTCTTAATTTTAACATAGATCAGGATTTGCTTAGAAGCGAGATTTCCTTGTAAGACAGAAGCAAAAAGCTTAATAATTTGAATGTCATTTTGTTAAAAAGAAAGTTAACTGCTATTGTTGTTTAACATAAACTTTTTTTATTTCAAAAGTTATATGTATTTATTGAAGGAAAATTAGAAAAGATTAAAAGAAAATAAAAATGACCCATAATTTCACCACCTTGAGAAAACAACCATATAATGTATATTCTATTATATATATATATATATATATATAAGAATATGTTCAAAACAGGGATAAGACTTGATTTTGTGTGTGTGTGGTATTGATGATGGAACCAGAATAATCTCACCACTGAGCTGCATCCTCAGTTCTTTTTTTTTTTTTTAAGTTTGCTTTATTTTTAAATTTTTAATACCTCTATTTTATTTATTTATTTTTAAGTGGTACTGAGGATCGAACCCAGGGCCTCGAACTTGCTAGGCAAGCACTCTGCCGCTGAGCCACAATCCCAGCCACCTCAGCTGTTTTTATTGTTTATTTTGAGATAAGGTCTCCGAAGTTGCCCAGGTTGAACTTGAACTTGGTATATTGCTGCCTTAGCCTCCTGAGTCACTAGAATTACTGGGGTATGTCACCATGCCCTGCTGTTATGAATATTTTTGTACAACCTTTATTCATGACCCTAATTTCTCATTGGAATAAATTTCTTATTAGAATAAATGCCAGTGGAAGAATGATTAAATCAAAGGGTTTGTATTTGTAATATCTTGAAACAAATTGCTCACTAGAAGGTACATTCTCCAAGCTATTACTTTTAAGTTATTTGCCTTTATCTTTTTTGTTTTATTAGGAAAATTCCACCCTGTTATCATTCTTATATTTATATAGACTCATATTTATCTATAAGTTCTTCTAAATATACATGATTTCTGTTTTTGAACAGTATTTAGAATTTCCCTTACAAGATAAATAAAGTATCCCAACTTTAATTGGTGGTTTTTAAAAAACATTTTTTTATTTGTAGATGAACACAATACCTTTATTTTATTTGTTTTTATTTATTTATTTATTTATTTATTTTTTTTTTTTTAAATCTTTTTTTTTTTAATATTTATTAGTTCTCGGTGGACACAACATCTTTGTTGGTATGTGGTGCTGAGGATCGAACCCAGGTCGCAGGCATACCAGGCGAGCGCGCTACCGCTTGAGCCACATCCCCAGCCCCATCCTAAATTATTTTATTACTCATTGTATCTTATAGTTTCTCTCTACAATTTCTTTCTTTTTTTTCTTTTTTTTTTTTTTTTGAGACAAGGTCTCACTAAGTTGCTGAGGCTAGGTTCCAACTTGATATCCTCCTGCCTCTGCTTCAGGAGTCACTGGAATTATAGGCATGTGCCACCACACCCAGCTATCCAAAGATACTTTTCATAGCAAGTCTGACATTTTTMTGTATCTAGAGATAGAATTTAAACCAAACAGCCGCCAACCAGCACATTGATTTAAAATATATCCTGAATATGCAATTTTGATTTGCTATTTTAATAGCCTCCATAAAATGCATGATACACACATAATCTATGACTTGTTTCTTCCCCCTTATTCATGTTGTTACTATTATTCTTGTCACTAAAATTGAATATTCTTAGTACATTTGCAACATGCTTGACATTTTGCCAATTAGCTCATCTCCACTTCATTTTCTCTGGGTTAAATATTATGTTCAAATTTTAGAAGAGTGTAAACAT